GCCCTGGGGCCGCTGCAGCCGCCGGCACCGCCTGGGGCCGGGCCGGGCAGCCCCGACATAGCCCCGGGCCCACTGGGGCACCACGGCCTGTACAGGACACTGTCCTGAAAGCATTTATTTTAGTTTGTGCTCACATGAACAGCTGTAACTTCATGGGCGGTTGCACGTACATGGAGAATGGCACAGATGTCAATACCTGTAATGTGCTAAACCTCTTCCTAACAGAGCTAAAAACCTGCTCCTGTTCTGTGAACCTTACAAGATTATTCTAGATTAGATAGATAAAAGAAGGAGAGAAAAAAGGATAGCTAGGGTTTATTTAAGTAGCATCATTTTGTGTATATTTTTGTGTTACCTTTGCCTGGATTTCTTTGGGTTTTGGTTTTTCTAGCTGAGCAACAGCTTTCTCTGAGATGAATGGGATGAGATAGCTTTAATAGGATCATACCTTGTTTGCTTTTTTTTTTTTTTTTGACTTTTCTGTCTAAATTGTATTTTAGATCTCTTGTTAAGCAAAACGAGATTATTCTGAATAGAGACCAATTTTTATTTTTTTTTTTTTCATTTGAGTACAAGTGGATAAACCTTTACCAGCTTTAAATTACACCAGACCAGAGCCCCGGTCTTTAAATGAAGTGCTTATAAAAATTTAAAGTGCTCTTTTAATTTTAAACCAATATATGCTGAGATGCCCAGAACCCTGATCACTGCCAAATTTCACTTCCAATAAATTTAAATTGCTTTGTGCAAGGCAGAGCAATTTAAAATTATTGAAGTGCTTTAAATTCCATACTGAAGTGCCCATAAAATTTGAAGTCCTCCAATAATTTGAAATCACTCTACATGTTGTACTGCAATTTAAGCCTATTTGAAAACAAACGCCCAGGCATCCTATGCTTTAATTTGCAATGATAAGCAACGTTAGAAAATGGCTGTTAAGGATTTACAAGAAGCACTGCCCTGGGAAATGGATGAGTCACCACCCTGGAGGTCTTTTAAAAGACATGTAGCTGTGACTCTTAGCAACATGGTTAAGTAATGGACTTAGAAGTGCTGGTTTACATTTGGACTTGATGATCTTAAAGGTCTTTTCCAACCAAAACAATTCCATGATTTTACACCATTTCTCAGTGAATTAACTGGAAAAAAACAACAAAAACAAAACAATAAAATGAGGCAGTATTAAAAGAAGAAAGTTATGCTTCTTTTTAAGACAATAGAATAGTAGCATCATTGTTTTGAGAGAGGGATATGTGGAGTGTGAGATTAGGAAAGTTGGTGAATATATAAATTATTCACCTCCATGACAACTATAAATAATATAGATGACTACTGTTCAGTTGACAACATGCCAGGTACAGAGCATGAACACATGAGATGTGTCAAGGCAACATATCCAGATGTACCTGAACTGTGTGTGAAACCAAATTCTACTGTTAATGCTACCAGAGTACATTTAGAGAAACTTTCTTCACTATAGGATTTGCTTTAGAAAACACTTAATAATCTTAGAAGATGATGTGTACCTTCCAGGTATCTGCACAGGATTGTAGCCTGTCTTGTCTTATGCATCTTGAACAGATTTTAGTTACCTAAGGTGTGGGAACCGAATCAGCTGAGGTGTTACCTTGGACTGGGTTACTGACATGGAGGGAATATACCTGAGGCCTTGGGAGGCAGAGTGCTGGGGGGATGCTACTGGGATCATTCATAATAGGTCATGTCCGTGTTCACGACTGGACCCCTGCCCTCAGATACCCCTGCACGTTATTAAGTTCGCCACACCCCTGAGTCATTGGATGCAGCCCCTCAGACCATGCGGTCCCAGTGAACATTAAAATGTATATTTGGGCACTCTGTGGTACCCGTCCCTATTTTTTCCACCACACTTGACCCAGCTGAACCAGACAAGAGGTCCCAGAACCCTCCCATGACACGTGGCACCCAAACAGGGCAGAACCCCACTGCGACACTAAGGAACCAGGAAATTATGATAATAGTAAAAAAGTTACAGTGGCACAGTAATAATGTCTTGGCATATCTGTTCTATCTTACACTGTCAACACTTTCCAAAAGCATACATTTAGGTTAGCTTAATTCAAAGGAATTTCAAGAGAAGGTGTTTATTTGTGAAGAGAAAAACTGTTGATTATTTGCATTAATATTCTATGAGAGATAAAACCCTTGTGACTTTGTTCTGAAATTGAGATTTTCTTCAATCAAACAGGTAGCAAAATCTATTGAATGGAGAAAAAAATTAAATTAAAAATTTAATTTAATTTAAAAATTAAATCAAATAGAATTAAAGTGCATTTTTATACAAAACAAGAAGCAAAATTGCTGCAATCATTTTAATCTGTTGAGGAGGCTTATTTTAAGACCCACAATGAGGCAGGCCAGTCTTTACATTCTAATCTACTTCCATGTAGTAGGTTTATTATTTCTTTGTGCACCAAACAAAACTCTGTAATATACTAAATGACAGTTGTCAGTTTAACCTCAGAGAATTCATTAGGGTAATTAACTTTTTGTTTATAAGAAAAAAATAATGTAAAATTTTCACTGTAAATGTAATAGAAATACATTGTAGCTACTTGGAACCATACCACACACCTGAGGAAAAGTTCAGGAATTTTTTGGAACTTCCTCCATGTGGAAGCAATGTTGCATAAGCAAAATCAAAACCTCACTAGAAAAAGGAAAGTTAGCATCCTTTTAGAGGAACAGGTAAAATAAGTTTATTGTACGAAAAATATTAATAGGCACTTTTGAGTTGCACTTGAGTAAATGTCAGCTGCATTTCATCAGTTGAGGTTAAAGAACCAGTTATTTTTGTCTAGAGAAGGCTAAGAATGTTCTCTTGCCCATACCTTACTTTAAGGCTAGGTGTTTTGCTTGTGAGATGACAATTGTCTTTGTCATACATTTAAGGGACAGCAAGCCTTGTTCCATTGCAAATACAGTTTATTTCATTTGTTGGCAACCTCAGCAATTATTTGTATCTAGGCTAAGACGCTGAATTTCTGGGATAATACACAGCTAGACAGGAGACAAAGTACAGCTCTTGGCAGTGTAGAGCCATCTATGACCCTTGTTGCTTCCTTTTCCTCCTTCATGACTTCACAGGTGTTCTGCACAAAGTCCTGAGCTAGATACAAGGATGCTCCCAGGTAAGAACACTGATATTTTTTTCAAAGCTGTCACTGCTATTGAGAGAAATGTCAGTTAATTGTGCCCTTTCTCCTGTTCCAAAGTAAATTTTCTACAACTAGAAAAATTTAGCTCTCAGTGAATGGGCTACTGGCCTTTGTTGTTTAAAACTGCCTCTCCTTCTTTTAAATTAAAGAGAAAAGAAAATTCAGCATTGCCTAAGAGTAAATAAAGATAACTAAAGAATTATAAATACTTACTACTAAATACCAAAACTTCCTTTTTTTTTTGAACTATTTTGCTTGGAAGAGAGATCACATTAATTCCTCCCTGCATATCAATTGACTGTGACAGGCAGCTAAGTAACAAACAGCTGACTCCCTCACAAAAGTGGAATTACATTTAATAAACTTTAAAACTGTCTGCTTTAAAGTCAATAAAAGAGTGATATTTTCCTTAACTATACACCACATTTTCCTGAAACACAAAAGGAGCCTGAAAAAATCATTGCACAGGTTGATATCTTGTCAAAGTCATGACATGGCATTGAAAATTAGTAAACCCCACAGATTATGGATAGGATAGAGCAATCATCTCACTGGACAGAAGAAGACCATGGAGTCAGTGGAAGGACAAGCTGATTTAAATATTTTGGGGGAAGACTGTGATAATGTCTTTCATCTTCCTGTGGGTTACCTGCTGTAAGGTACTGTTGAAGAAAGGTCTAGGAAAAAAACAAAAGAAAAGACTAGATATGCCACTGTTGGTCCCACTCTGGCATCATCACCAGGCTTATATCTTCTTCACCAGTGTTAGCAATTTGTATCTTCAAGGTGCTTTACTTTTTAAATGGACTTAGTTTTCAAAAACTGAGCTTAGAAAGCAAGCTCCATCTTAAGCTTGTTATGAAAGAGGTTTTTCTAAGGACTGATTGTTCAAATACTGGTATTTTTTAAAAGTAAGGATAGGAATTACCCTGTTTATGGTTTTGTTTGATTTGGGGCTTGTTGCTGTTTTGGTTTGCTTTTCTTTAATGCTTTGCTGAGTACATTAACAGTCGTGCCATTCTTTATGCTTAGCATAATGCAGAGCAAGGTTATGAACACAATAAGACAAATAGACTTTAAAGATGGTCACAGTTTATTTTGTAACAAATTCTCACCACTTAGAATTATTCTTAAATCTGACATTTTGGTGGCATTATTCTTAAACTTGACATTTTAGTGAACCACACTCACAACAGATTATATCTTCTGTTATCCAAAAATGTCTCAGTGGCTCAATTCCTAGCAGCTATCTCCCTGCTTGACTAAGCAATAATTTTATAGTTACTGCAGGTCATACCAGGCTAAAAGCAGTCATTTAGACTTTCAGTCACTGAATAAGGATATATGTTCTTGCAACACTTTATCTGTTCAGTCTAAAACAGTTGTTAAACTTTGTATAACCCTAAAGTTTCACATAACTCTAATTATAGGATTTTTTTTTTGTACAGTGGGTGAGAGTTTTATATTGAAATTGCAAAAGTATGATTCATATGATGGCTGCAAATAGCACCACTTGTTGCTAGGTGAAAATCTACACTGGCAAGAGTGAGAACAAAAAGTTGATGCATGGCCAAGAGTGAGTGTTATTTCTGAGCTAATCTAGAGGGAAAGAATAGCTGACATTAAATGAAAAAGCAGATAATTTCAAACTAACTTCTAATTTTTTGTTTTCTTTGGCAGGGGGAGGTGATGCTTCGTTTGTTCTTTTTAAATAAGCATAATGATTTTTGCAGACAAAACAAATGTATCTCTCTCCTATCTGGTCAAAAGCACTGGG